GGGGCTTCCATTCACCAACGCAGACAAAAAGTGCTCCCCGAACCGTGCAGGATAGTCACCCATCACACGGCTCTCAAACCCAACCCGTGGTGGATCCCGGGGGGCAAAGTCAAAGCGCTTGATCCTTTGCCCCATACTTTGAGATGCTCCTCCCCGCCGATCAAGCAGCGACGCTGCTCGTGATAGGCTTAGCTTTAAGCCGCTATCGTTCGGTTCAAATAAGTCAAAAGTCCTTTCGGTCGGTTCGCTCAGGCGGTCTTCCCTTATCTTCCCTTACGTTCAGAGTGGTTTTGGTTTTTTAAAGGAGCACCGGCCGAGCGCCCTGAATGAATAAGAAATGGACAGCATAGGGAATCAATGATTCTTATTCAACCGAGTTGAAGCTAGCAACATGTCGATTACACACCGGAGGTTGGTAAGAACTGAGGGACAATGCCCCCCTAACCTAAGTGGGCCCGCCGGCAAAGCAACTGGTACTTGATCGGGCGGGGGGGGGGCGGTTTGGTTTCGCGCAGCGCCCTCGCAGCAGGAAGAGGCTGTTGTCATTTGAAAGGAAACGCCCCGGGTTCCAAACCTGCGTGAAAAAAAACGCCCTATATATTCTATTAGTAAAGCCTAAATGTCCTTCTAAAGCGCTAACGCGCCTTATATTATTTGGTAAAGCAACCTTTCGCCTTTATTGATATGATATAAAACAAGCTTACTTACTAATAAAGCGGCAACAAGCACCTTCTTTCTCAAAAAGTAAAGTTTCGCGCTTGTTGCTTTAGAAAAATGGCAGCGTTAGCGCTTTACTAATACTTATATATAATATATCAAGTAAAGGCTCTTCTCCTTTTCTACTAATCTACAACTCTCTTTACTGAGCGAGACTCCATCCATATCCCTACTAGTGGTTCTTTTTTTTTCTATTCTATCATTTGTTTGACAGCTTAAACCAGGCTCCATTTTAGAGAGTTTTCGGTCTTAATCAAGATAGGTCAGGGGCGCGTCAGAACGGTCGGTGGCTGCTTAGTCTCATCCGAGAATCTCTTTGTACTGCTTTTTTTCAAAGAAAAAAAAAGAAAGAAGGGGTTCGATTTAGGCTCCTTCCCTTACAGAGCATAGCTGCGCTAGCAGGTACTACGAGCCCTCTGTCCCGCGCATCTAACCAGCTCGCGTGGTTCACCGGTTCCACCGAAAACTCTCATTTGTTGAAGCGGAGCATAGTGCGCTTTAGGCGCCGAGCGAGAAACGTCTCTTCTTTCGTTTCGATTTATTCACTGATCTGAAACTTTGCACTTGTTTTCTTATTGATTCCAGGGGCGGCGGCGTTCTTGAATGAAGTCTATCCGAACCGAATTAGCACTTCTCAGATCAGGCTAGGCCTCTCCGGCCGAGCTGGGCGCCGGGGCCCTGGATGCGCTAGCGATCGGCACATAGGGGAGTGGTTGCCCGGGTTTCTCGGCCTGGTCTCCTGCACCTCGCATTCATGATATCTACATTCAACTGTGCCCCGGAGACACGGTCGAAGCACGCCCGCCCAGTGTGCTTCTTTCACGACATGCTCTGGTCCCGGGTGTCTTCCAGTGGTCTTCTAGCGTTAGAAGAAGTCGTGTCCGTCCCGGACATCTGCAATGTCCTCCCACGCTTTTTTTTAATATAGGACAAACTGAAGGAAAAGACTGACCCATTCGGTGACTTTCGCGGTCGCCCTCACTGAACCGACTTGAATCTGAACTACGATTCAGATCAAGTCTTACCGACATCGGATTTCCTTTTCGTGCCATATGCGCTTTTACTTTACTTTACCCCTTTTGATTCCCGGTCCAATATTTGTTCTCGAAAGTCTTCGTTTTCGTTGCTCTAAGGTACACCCGAGCACCTTTTGGTGATGCGATGGTTTGATCCTATCCTCTCTCTCACTTGAAGCCTTCAAACAAAGAAAGCTACTCCGCTATATATACTAAAAATTTTTCATATACGAGATTTCTGTTCCATTCCTGCCGACACTAGCTGTATGTAAGACCACTATAGTATGATGGACTAGGCGTCCCCAACTGCTACTGTTTTTGACTTCCCCCAAAAGGTCTTTGGCAATCTCAATCCTATTCTTCTGCTTCTGCTTCTCCGTTTGGATACATGGTAACATGTCCCCCGTATTTGGCGAGGGAAAGGATGATGAGCGAACTCTTTCGAGCGGGGGAATATTCCAATTCCAATTTAAATTGCTAATTGAGTGAATTAAGCAAGGGGGATCTCGAATTGTCTACTTGAAGGGGGGAGGGGGGATGCTTCCCATCCCGCAAAGGAGCCGTTAAATCTTTTCTTTTTCGATTTCCATTTCGCGCTAGGGCACTCATCCGTTGCTTGTTTGTAGTTATGTCAGGCAAAGGTATTCTCCCTCTTTTTTTTTGAAGTCCATTTTTCGGTGGTTGGAAAGCGAGCGAAGACTTTAACCCGCTGCTCCTTTTTGGTCTCTCACCCGTGGAGTCCATTCACTCCACTGATCGAGCAAGCACGGCCGTATTCTACTTGCATGTGTTAAGCATATAGCTAGCGTTCCTTCTGAGCCAAGATCATACTCTTCTTTTGAGTATGATTGGGCCCTGCAGTGGTAGAACCTGGCGAACCAGGCGTACTACCGAACATTGATTCTCTCTCCGGAGCCTATATATGCAATATGCACCAACTCGAGAAAAATCAAAGAAAACTACAAGCAACTACATCAACAACCTCTATTCCTGACGTGAACGGACGCTTTCAGTTAGTTATACTTATAACGTTATATATATATATATATAACAATAAAAAGCGTGTGATATCTATCAACAATAGTTTCAACCAAACTCTTAGTTTTCGAAGGCCGAAGAAGAATAGCTTGCAAGTTAGACAGAATTCTGGTTAACCGTGAGATTGTTACTCTCTTCTCCGAAGCTAGAGTTATTACTGGTACTAATGGACTATCTGACCATGCCCCAGGCATTATTCAGTTGAATCACTCAGTGCAGCACAGCCATAAACCTTAAAGGTTTATTAATGCGCAGTCTAATCATCCCCCCTTTCTCCGAACTGTGAAGCAAGCGTGGAATATCCGAGTTGAGGGCAACCCCATGTTCCAAGTGTCCAAAAGCTTAAAGCGGTCAAAGAGGCGCTGAAAGGTTAGAACGTTACCACCTTTGGCAAAATAGCTGAAAGAATCAACGTCCTTAAGGATGAGCTGTACGAGAAACCATTCTTGCGAAGGACCAAGGAAATGAGCAAGCAGCGATGGATTAAACTCGAAAACTATATGAACTTAATGCAATGCTTGACGCGGAGGAGTCTCTTATGAGACGGAAATCTCGGGTCCTGTGGTTGAAAAATGGAGATAGAAAGACAAGAACTATATGAGCTGCCTTATCCGATCTTTTGAGGGCTTTCCTATGAATTTCCTAGTTCCATTGGATTAGTTTTAGTTGAAGGACAAAGAAATGAAGTATATCGCTGCTTCGGCAAAACTGCTGGGGGAGTACCTGATAATGCCAATCGTAAGAAAAAAGGTAGTTCTCCTCCGGACCCTCGCTTTTCGGCTGAGTGGGGTAAGCCGCGTTCGTCTATCGAGCTACTCCGCTTCGCTACGTTCCTTTGCGCCCGTTTCACCATTTATACAGACTAAGACGGGCTTCTCGCCCCACCTCCTTTCGGAAGAACTAACCGCGATACTTTCAAAATTTTATTTAGCGGGAGCCTTGCTTTCATAATTGGATTCATCGGCTCTGTCACGACTTATCCACGAAATTCCAACACCGGTACCAAAAAAAAAAGAAACCGTTGAAGTCTTTAGTAGATCTGGTTCGGTGGAGGGACTAGAAAAGAAAGAATCGGGCGGCGCCCTCTTTACTTTTTGATCCGAAACGGTGGCTGCTCGTCCAGATGCTAGATATCTACGCGGCGCAAACTAAGTTGATAGGGCCAAAGTAGTCTACTTGCTTACCATGCCTGAGGGAGGGCCTCCGTCGAATCATAAAATATCGTCAGAGGATAGACCAGAAAGAAGGTGTCAAAGGGCTTGGCGAAACGCCCCGAGGGAGTTTACCTGCTCCACCTAAATGTATCAAACAGCAGCAGCGTACAACAGAAAGAGCTAATCCGCAGTTCGTCGATATGTCCCTTACTCTTTACTAAACCTAGGCCCACACCTTTGCTCATTCAAAAAGGAAGATGCGCTCGGGGGAAAACAAAACCAGAATAAAGATAAAGAAAGATCTTGAGACCGCCGCGGTGCGTACATCGTAGATTAGGAGGAATAACCATCAGAAAAAGACTCACCTCCAACTGAAGCGGACAAAGAAGAAAGGAACTCCGTTTTAGCTTCACCCCAATCGAAGGCCCGTATAGACGCTCCGACAACTCAACTACTACTGCGGGTCAACCCCCGTCCCCTCTCCTTTCAGTCGGCGGGTAACCTCCTCCTTCTTTTGCTTTGTGATTGGATGAACCGGCTTTGAATGAATCTGCTTTGGAACCAGCCTTGTATTAGTCTTAGTATTTTCCATTTTTATTTAAGAATAGGCGGTCAAGTACCATTCCTATTTGTCCACGAAGCGAAGCCAACAGAGATAATATCTCATTCCGGTTTAATCTCTTAGTAAGGAACCGCCGATTGATGGTTTGAACGGAGTAGCCCGACCAAAAGAATTGGAGTGTCTGGGCGAGGAACGGAGCTCTTTTCGTTGCTTCCACTGCCGCTTTCTCCGGATCTTCCTATCCATAGAGAGAGCGGGCAACCTAATCGGGTTTAAATCAAGAAGAGCGGGTGTTCGGCATTCCAACTCTGGCATGATCAAGGCCCCAGCAGCTCGGATAGGAGTTCAAATTCTTATGTTTTCGTATGCTTCCATAAAAAAATTCCTACTAATTAACTAGATATGGTTCAAAATGCTACCAGACACATGCCAATATCAAACTTCCTCCGCCTGGACTGATCTTTATTAAATCCCCTGAGCAATGCGCAGAATTTGCTATATTGAAAGCGGCTTTCATAAGTAAGCAAGTACTGTTGACGAGGCAAGGTCTTTGTGAGACCTAACCGTGGCAGTTCGAATAAGAGTTACCGACCGGCGAGCACACCGAGCTTCAATTCGAGATGGAACAACGCGCGAAACTCCTGATTTCCATGACCTGTGGATGACATAGCTTAGCTTGAGGATGCCGCTGCTCTTTCCCACCAAGGGATGTGACTTGAAATTTCTCGAATGCACTGGTGCTAGGTCGCCAGGATAAACAAAAACTATACTTCCACTTCTCACAGATTCTGTAGTGACGGAATGGCTCTTGTATTTATCTAGCTATTTAATTATTTCTGGTGAACCCTAGTCAATTCCATCATACCGGAAGAAGCCAAAGGCAAAGAAGTCTAGAAACTTCTCCGACGACATCATATGTTAAAGAGAGTCTCGTCGTGTTCAGGCGGCTAAGCTTACCAGCAATAGAACTACTTAAAGTAGGCTGTTCGCTCTCTGCCGGTCGGTTTGATCCCAATGAGGGAGCTCAAAGCAACCAGAGTTTCTGCCTCAACTAAACCTGTTCCTATCTTTCCTTTCGAAGCGGTATATGCGGGACTTTTAAGATCTAGCTCTTTTCCGGGCAAATGATTCAAATGAGAGCTGTGGAACACATGCATAATTGGATTAGCTTACTATTGATGATAGGGCCCAAGGAACAGAGGCACCAGACTTAGTAAAGTAAAGGGGGTTTATCTCTCTAAAACAGAAACAGAATAGGAGACTCAGATCTAGGCCCTTCGGGCAGGCGATCCCAACATATGACAGCCCGGGGCAGCAGCCGAGGTTAGGGCTCTTGCCATTGGATTTAACGATAACTCTCGGCGCAACGTTAAATTAGGGTCTAAAATAGGCTGTTTTGGGACTTTCAAGGGCAGCAAGCAGTAGATATGTGTTTACGATACCGAGGTCAATGCATGAAAAACACTTGCTGGTTCATCCAATCGCAAGACGAAAGAAGAGGTATAGTTTTCCAACCGGAAGAAGAATTCGTGCAGAGGCAGCTAAAGAGCTCTAAAGCATTGGCTTGCCCCTCATGGATACGGTAGCTCTCTAGAGAGCTTCTATGCCTTTCAGTTTCAAACTAAACAGAGGAGGAAACTCAAATTGGAAGAGGAGTGGAAGTAGCTCAACTGGCAAGGAAGAGGAGTGGAAGTAGCTCAACTGGCAAGGAAGAGGAGGCAGCCAAAGGCCATTAAACCTCGAGAATTGGTTAGACCAGACAGGAATAGAAAAGAAATTCGTTGGTTGTTACAATCTACGTTTGGGGGATGTCTTGGCTTTGTGATTGACAGATATAGATTCATCTCCACCCTTCGCGGGGCTCCCCTTTTTGTAAGAATTTGTGCATGAGCGACTTAGTGGTTAGCCGAGCTAGTTACTCACTCCATGGCATGATGGGAAAAGCCCCCTTCTGATGGTTGAGCGGGTAAAGCCCTTATGAAAAGAGTGAACCGGGCGTAGCGTAGAGGCTGCCAAGAGAGCTTTAAACCTCTATCTTACACCTGGCAGGAGATGTAAATACTTACTTTCGGGTTATTGGCCTCTGGAACAAAAATCATAGGATGCTAGCTAGATTGATTGGTAGATTAGAGGTCTTCCGTCTAGCCTTTTGCTCCTTATCTCAGACAGAGCACAACGGGTAAGGAAAGTGCTGTTATGTTAGGCCGGAGTGTCTTTTTCTTCAGGGAGAGGCTCGTCGAGCAGCATTTGGTGATTTCATTATCCGAGAGTGGGACGAAGTCTTTCTTTTCCTTTTAAATTCTTAAAAAAAAATCCGCATTCAGTCTCTCAACTGAGATCTACGACATTTCCTCTAACCTTTGGTAATGTAAGCTAATCCAATAATGGAACTACGGAATCTGTAGCATGTTTACCCAACCTCTGCCCTTTAGATAATGCATCCGATGGAAGAAGGCTAGCTTTCGTTAGGGAATTTCTCATCACAGAAGGAACGAAGTAGCTTGATCGAAGATAAGAGAGAGGAGAAAGCCATACGGGATGATATTCTAGTACTTTATAGCACAGTTTACCTGTCATTGATAGGGCCCTGGTATTATGGTTGAGCAAGTAAACAACTACCTTGATTTCAAAGCGCAACCGCTGTTCAAAGAATATCAATGCGGCGGGAGTATAACTATGGCATTAATAATTAGAATTCGGAAACCTTTGTCAGTCAAGTCCAAGTCTGCCTCTCTCGAAAAAAGCTTAGCCATCGTAGAGCGGTCGACCTAAACGAGAATGGATACGGCATGAGAGACGATACGGACGAGTCATAAGCGCGGTCGGGGGTCCCATCCCTTTTGCAGGGAATGGTTTTTTCCGGTTGTTTGTTCCTTGGTCGAAACATCGGGTACCGACTCATTGAAACAGCAAAACTTTTCTGTAGGATATATGTGGTTGCACCGGAACTACTCTACTTTTTGGAGGGGCTCATCAAGCGCTTTCTCCAACTTGCTCGCGGGTTGGCCCAATTTATTCTTATCTATATTCCTCAACTGGTACTTGATCGTCATTATGTGAGAATCCCCTTTCTTTTGAAACGGAGTCTAACTCTCCCTCGCCATTAAAGATACCGAACCAAGTCTCTACTAAAGTGAAATCGGCTCTGCTCATCCCAAATAGATATGATATCTTCCAGATTTAGGAATATAAATGAAGCCCTTTTTTATTCCAGAATAGAATACGAGCGAGAGTCCAGTTACTCTGTTTCATCGAAAACAGAACGTAATAATCTTATAGAATATCTGGAGTCGTATAAGTTAAGATTCATTCAATGAGCATCCTTTATTTCATAGAAATTGGGGCAATAGAATAAAAAACCAACCGATCCAACTTTCAGGCATCAAGATACGTTTCGGGCGTGGATGAAACTCATAAGAGATTCCCAACATATCAAAAGATTTCCGTTCTTGAAAATCTTCACTTTTCAAAATCCAGAAAACAGATGGGATTCTAGGATTTGATTCCTCCCTTTGGCAAAGACTTATTTGCATACCTATTCCGGTTGATCCACACCATACTGTATTCTCGTAAGATGATACACACTAGCTAACAATCCGCCTGGTGCTACATCATAGGCATACATGGAATAACTTTTGATTCCTATCCTGGATTTGGAATCATCGTAAGGAGAGGGCTGGGGGCTATGTTGGGACGAGATTGAACGTATCAATATACATTTCCTTTCCGTCAACTAAAGTCTGTTCCTTTCCCCCGTAAAAATGAAATGGCAATAACTCATCTCGGGCAAGAACCCTTAAAGGCAATAACTCGTTTCGTCGATCAAGAAATTCAACACTGGGGTGCAGCGCAGGGCTTCCACTCAAAGAGGAAGCCCCAGCGGAACGGTCAACTAAGAGTGAACAATTAGAATTGACTAAAGAAGATAGAGGTAGCTTGCTTACTTAGTGCTTGCGCTAAGGAAGAAAGAAATATTGTATCACTTCTTTTCTATACTGATTGAAATTTCGTTGCTGTGTCAGAAGAGAAGAAGGATAGCTATACTGATTCGGTATACTCTAAAGACACCCTCGGTACCACTATTGAAAATCTCACTTAAATTAAATCTCAGTGAATTTCCATTTACTGATCCTATCTTTCACAGAATCGACCCCCCGCTTTTTCTGTACATGAATATGTGGAGCTCAGCATGTCTGGAAGCACGGGAGAACGTTCTTTTGCTGATATTATTACCTGTATTCGATACTGGGTCATTCATAGCAAACCTATACCTTCCCTATTTACTTTACTCGACGAATTAAGGGGTTTGGTTATTCGTCAGCACGGGTTTAGCTTCCTCTTCCTCTTGGATTGCGTCAACCGCTCAAGTGAAGCCAAAAAGGGAGGATTTCCGAAAGGCTCCGATCCAGTTAAAATCCGTTTAAGCTAAAAGCACCGGTTTTCTCCCCAGGCAAAGGCCAGTCAACAGCCAGTCCACAAGAGAACCCCGAAACGGGAGCAAACCCCCCTTCTACCTTTCTTTCTTTCAGAACCTTTCTCGCCTGCCGTTAAATGAAAGTTTATTTGAGTTCCCAATGGCTGGTGAAAGTGAAATAGGAGACCTCAAGCTGCCATACTTGACTAGAACCGAAGGAAGATCTCTCACACCGGCAATGGAAACTAGATGTCAACGAGCGGCACATAATTGAAATTGGACAACCTCACCCCCCAGTGAATGTAGTCGGATGGACAGATCGACTGTCGCATGATCGAGTGTGAGCGCATGATCGACTGTTAAGGTAGGACCTTCAACAAAGAGAGTTGATCAACAAGTTCAGACTATTTTCTGTCAATTCGGCTGTCCTCTCATTTCTATTATAAAATCAAATGTCTTGAATCATTCGATATAAGGGCTTCACTTCAAAGAGGCATAGGAACAATGTCCCGAAACTGAAGATGAGACTGAAAGCTGCCATACGAGATTAGAGAATAGAAAGTAAGGAACTGTTAGAAATGGAATATGGATCTTGCCCATATATATGTACTTTATTTTATCTTCTTTCTTGTCGGATTCTCTGGGGGATAAAGAAAAAGTATATGCCCCGGACTCGCGATTTGGGGATTTCCCTGGCTAGGATGCTAAAGATCGGATGCTGCCTCCTTTAAGGAAGGTGCCTAGCCTTGCTAAAGGACATGCTACCACCCTACCAAAGCCGACAAAGTAAAGCAGGAAAGTCATCAGGTGACGAAGACGGAGGAAAGGCAAAAAAGGTCAATAAAAGCTTCTTATGTGGCATTTGGCATTTGTCCAAAAATCCCATTCTATGTCTATGCCATCTTATTTACTATGGATTCAACCTCTCGATGCTCCCCTTGTCCTTCCGGGATGTCGAAAGCTTCAGTCAACACAGTCCTTAGCCCACATCTATCTAATAAGAGTCCTTACCCCGCATTCATCAATATCAATAAAAGTCGCAGGCGTGAAGGTTTAGTATACTCACTTCTAGTTACCGCACAACGTCCTATCTTCATTCCCTTGGAACTATGTATTGCAGTTGGCAGATCACAGAAGGAAGTCAATAGCATACTAGAGTAGAGGGTAGGGGGGAAGGTACTGATTTAGCAATACAGCTAAACCACTAATTATCTAGGCGCCTATCTCTTTTCTTTTGTTACAGAATTCAAGAGTCAGGCATGAAAGATCAGAGAAAAAGGAATCAGTCTTAGAAGTTCATAGATGGTTAAATGCAGTCCTCGGAGAATAACTAGGAGAGAAAGAACTAAGAAGAAATAACTCTAGCAACAGGGAAAGAGAACTCCTAAGAGTAAGAGCAGCCCTTCGTGTAGGAAGGTGTAGGAGCGAAGCCACTCTTGCCCCTTCTTCCACTAGTCTTAGAGCGGAAAGAGTAACCGAGAAAAGGCATGAAGGGGCTTACTAATAATAAAGAGAAGGCATGAATGAAGGAGCCTAGTCTATTTGAGGCGGGATGCCCAAGAATAGAAGTAGCCATATGCCGAAAATCGTCTTCTGTGATGTCAGGGAGAAATCGTCTGCTCACTTGCGACAAGAGGGCATTCTCTGCCATTGATTCTAGCACAACCGATTCTCTTACTAAAGAGGTTGTAGAATAAGATGTGATGCTACTACTTCTATTGAGACGTGACCACCCAGGAAAGC